GGCAGGCCAGCGTGGGCCTGGGCTCTCACTGCCACCCACCGGGTGCTGAAGACCCAACCGTGCCTAGATGTGGTGGTGACCCCGGCTCAAAATCTGGGCTGCAGATTTTTCAAGGAAAGGGGTGGACAGCTCAGTTTCTTGATAACAGTTTTCATTTATGGATCCTAGTGTTTTCCCCAAATCTTCCAATTGAGTGTGATTCCCTGGGAAATGTTGGTGAATTTTTATGTCCTGACATAGATGGGAAACAGAGACATTCAGAGGCTCAATGGGCTGTTTGGATCACCTTGCAAGCCAGAGGAGAAGCTGGGCAGGAAGGCTTTGCTCCTCATTATACCCTGAACTGATGTTCACTCATCAGTGTTTCCTTAGCTTTCAAATCTTGGAGCCTTATTTAATATCTGATGCTAAACATTTGATTCCCCAGCTGGAAAAAAGTAATTCATACTCCCACATAGTAATTTGGGGTTGCAGAGAAGGAGGGGAATTTTTACTTGGACAACTGTGAATTTCTACCATTTTTGCCCACCATGCTGGCATATTACTCTGGATAAATCTCTTATTTGTCCCAAACAACAGATTTGTTTTGCTTTTATCAAATGTGATTTTTTTTTTTTTTTAGAATAGTATAAAATAAGAGAGGAATAACAAAATACTTTGCTCAGGCAGTGTGGGGGGTTAAGCTATTCAGAGAGCTGTTTTCATAGCTAGACTTGCGGGTTTTTTTTTATTTATGAGGGTAAAAATTATAAAAAGGAAGAGATTACGGTAAAGTGAAGTGTGAATCAACTTTTAAGCATGATGTTGGCTCCTCGTATCCCATGGGATTCCCTGGGTAACTCAGCTTGGCCAGGAGAGTTTGAGAAAGGTTTGCTCTCTCTAGAGCCCTAAGTACAGATCAGAAATGATCCTCTTCATGTATATGCTATTATTGTAGGCTATGGCCCAACCTGTAGGCAGCTGTCTCACTGTGGGACAAAAATGCCAAGGCTGAGGTGCAACTAAATAGTAAACAACGCATTTCTAGGTTTATATCTACCCCTAGAAGAGAAACATCTGTGGTTTTGTGATTAAAAAACACAAAAACCACAACCCAGGCAGCCCACCTCGGTGGGATTCGTGGCAGGTTGTATCAGAAGCTGCTCCCTCCCCGGCCACGGCGGCTTCCCGAGTGTGGCTGCAAAACGCACCTACGTCAGCTGGTGTCCCGGGGAGAGCGGGAGCTGCCGGGAGCTGCGACCGTGTCCGGCTGGGGCCCGGCCCGGGCGCTGGGCCCTGCCGGTCCGGCGGGTAGGGGGGGGGGGGCCCTGGGGGTCGTGGGTGCCCCCTCGTGCAGAGACGTCAGGGGGTAGCAGCCACCAGGGCCCCCTTTTGCCAGCGGGCTGGGGACAGGTAACGTCACCTCCAGCAGCGCCCTGAGCCTGTGACTTTGGTTAATGCTTTGGAGAGCACCGCCTGGGCCTTGGCGTACAGCAGCCTGCTGGATTGATGGATTTGGGGTCATTGTGAAGTACTTCTGCAGTCTTTGGCTGCTCTTTCAGAACCGTCGCTGCTTGTTGTCATTTGTATTTCCAGTGATTCATTCACAAACATGTCTCTCCTCTCCCTCCCTCAGGGTCGTGACTATTGTTCAGAAGAGGAAGATGTCACATAGTGCCAGCGCTGCGGGCGAAGCAGGACTACTACTGTGTAAATAGAGTACAGCCCCGCCGAGCCCCTTGGGACGCCGTTAGAGCGAGCGCGCTCCATCCCGCCAGAAGATCATCTCCACATTATATGCTCCATTCAGTTCCAGTGTTTCTTAATGGCCAGACGAGGAATCCCGCCAAGGACTCGTGTGGGACCGTTTCCGTTGCTGCTAGTTAAAACTCGTCGCAACTTTCCACTTTTTTCCATGTCCAGATACGCAGCAAATCTTTAAGGTTAATCTGAAAGACCGCGTTGATTCTTTTCAGGCTCCGGGCCGGTTTTCTAGTGAACAAGGTCATGTCACATCAGACGTCCGTAAGCGAACGCTCGAGCTTATAAGGCTGCCTGTGATCCGTACGGGCCGGAGTGCTTCTTAATGCTGGTGATTTCAAGCTTTGGAGATGGGATGTTTTGCCATGGCCAGCCTTGTTTCTCCGCTGGGAAGAAGCGGAGCAGCCGGTGTCCGTTAAAGGCACGTTACCACTGCAATGCTGGAAGTGATGCAGGCTGCAGGGATCTGTCTTTCAAGAGGAAAAGAGTTTTCATTTACTAGGCATCTTAATCGAGGACTAAGCTTGCAGTATTGGCTTTGCTGAGCACGAACGGGAGTGTGATCACAATCATTTTGAATCTCTTTTTTTCTAAGAAAATAAACATTTTACTGTTTTTATGTATTCTAGTCTTTTGTCATTCATCCAACGCGGTGCTGTAGGGGGCTGAGGAGAGGGGAGGCAACAGCAGCCCCCATGTTTTTGGCTCCCTGGGTTGGGTAACTTGAAGCAGCTCCAAGACAGCTGGGGGCATCTCACATGTGCTATGGAGTTTATTTCCTTTAAAGGAGCTCGTTACCTTCTTCCTGCTTTGCTACGGTATGAATTCCTTGAAATTTTCATCCTTTTGCCTGGCACGTTGTCCTCTTGGGCTGTTACAGTTTCTCAGCACTGCGGAAGCACCTGATCTGTCACCAAGTCTTTGACATGATCAGGGTGGCCTCTTGCTCGTGACTGTCTTTTTCCCCATAAATTTTGCTCAAGCAGGTGGCTTGAGTTATTTGAGCAGTTTAAGTAATGAACAGTCTGGGGATTGATCCCCCAAAACTCTTCCCTCAAAGGTGCTTTGCAAACTCAAGACAGTGGAGGGGGTGATAGGATTCGCCTTTTAGCATAGACTTGGCTTTCTAAATGATAAAGAACTATAAGTCGATAAAGATCTATAAGATGATAAAGATTTATAAGTTTCCACATACAAACCCTCCATGCCTGGGAAGGTGATGGAGCAAATTCCCCCATGAACCATTTTAAAACGCACGAAGGACCATGGCCTTGCTGCTCATTAATTTAAAGTTCTTAATACTACGAGTCTCTCTCCTGGATTCATGATCCTGCTGAGAAAAATCTCTCTTTTCAGTAAGATATTCACTTTTTTTCAGTTCAAATGTAGGAATGTCATAGGAAGGGGAGACATGGAGGCTGGGACTGTGGAGGCCAAGTGCTTTGGGGAAGCAGGTTGTTTGGGGAGGAGAAAGTGAGGCCAAGCAGCCGAGAACCTGGGCAGCTGCTGACAAAAAACCCACATTCTGGGGGTTCAGCAAAATAAAGGGGAGCCTGACACACCTGAGCTTGGCAAGGGGAAAATGCAGAGACATTTGCTTGTGTCTTTGCTTTAAAACCATTTTGTTTTTTTCTTTTCAGCTTAGGTGTGCAGCCCTGCCAAAGAGGAAATTTGCCCTTTCTGCCTCAAACAGCTGGTAAGAGCAGCAGCTCCCAAGCGGGCACGGTGTGGGACCAGAGCGGGGCATTCTCAGGCTTTTTTGGCATCCTGATTTTATGTGTCTATTAATAACCCCAAAATGAGTCACACGGCGCCGCGCTTGTTCACCGGGCCGGGGGGAGCAGTCGCCCGAAATAGCAGCTGCGTCAGTTCTGCGAGCGGGGCCGGGCTGGTGCGGGGCTGCCCGGCGCTCAGGGCCCTGCTGAGGGCGGGAAGCCCCTGGCAGCGGGCGCCCAGCAGCCCAGGGAGACCCCCTGGCGAAACAGCTCCCTGGAGAGCACGAGGAGAGGGAGCAGGTGCCGCTCTGGAAGCGGCTCTGGAAGCGGCCCTGGGCCTCCAGGCCGGCCCAGCTGAGGCCCCCCCCATGTGGTGGCAGCCATTCTGCACCCGCTCCGGACCCCAGGACGGGGCAGGAACTGCCCCTTCGGTGCCTTTTTTGCCCTTGCTGATAAAAGTCCTGCCAGGGAAGCAGGCGCTTCCCTCAGCCCCTCTGCTTAGGGGCCTCCCAGCACCTCTCCCACAGCAGAAGGGGCTGCCGGGGCTGTGCAGGGCACCCGGCACCTGCCCTTGCCCAAAATGCTCCAAGTCATTAATTCCTGACACCCCTTAACTGTGCGGTGACGTCAGACAGGCCTCCGCGAGGCTGCCAGCGCTTTCTGCTGAAAATACACACAAAAAAACAGCACGGAGGGCTCGAAGCTGGCGCTCCCACACCTCTGTTGAGCAAGAGGCATTTTCTTATCCCTGCCCCCAAAGGGGAAAAAATAAAACAAAACACAGGCTACAGGGGAGGTGAAACAACACACACATCCCCCTGTGGAATAAAGGCACCGGGCCGAACCGCTCCCACCCCAGGGAGGTGACGGAGCAGGGGACGTGGTGCCCAGCTGGCAGCTCCCCCCTTCTCCCAAGGCAGAAGTATCTTACAGTTCAGAACAGTGTGACCAGAATATTTACATTTTATTAAATCTTTACAATCAATTATAATCAAGTACACAATTATGTACACAGATTATATACATTTTAGCCCAGACTTTTACATCACAGTACGTAGTTGCCCTTAAGAAATATTGTATACACTTATCACCAGACAGTAAAACCCACCGATAGTGTTACAGCACCTGGTATTAGAACATCTTTCATAAGAAAATATACGGCTGTAAATTGGGCTGGCTTAAAAAAAAAAAATCTTATAAAATCTGAACATACAATATTTCATTCACAGAATGTTATTTTTCCCTCTATGTTCTGCCTGATGCCTCTCGCGCCCACTGCCCCGTGGGAGCTTCGTTAAGAAATGACAAATGTAAACAAATGGGGAAGATTCCTCTACCATCACGTGAGGAAGCAGGTGGGGAGCGGGAAGTCGATGGCACAGGGCAAGGGCTGCTCCCACGTGCAGTGCCCACACGACACGTGCAAACGCAGAGGCGAGGCAGGAGGGATAACCATGGAGCAGACCTGGCAGGAATTTGGGGGGGGAAAAAAAAAAACACTCCCCCAACCATTAAGATTAATACATTCTTTTTGCCTTTTTATGATGACAGTGACAGAAGTTTCCTGTTCAGAACGATAGGACAAGGTTAACTAAAATCTATTTCCTCACAAGGAATCATGAAACAAAACAAACAAAAAACCCTGAATAAATCTGTCCCCCTAATTTACTCTTCCTTCCCCAAAGCTCAACTTCTCCTGATTTGGTTCTGTAAACAAATGTAAACCCCACTTGTCGAGCACGGCTATGGCTCTCATGATAGTTTCAGAAGGCAAAACAAAACACTCTTCAACAACAACAGGGATGGCGTTTAGCTGAGGTAGGGCACCCAAACCTGGGGACCGCTGAGAAAAACCATTGAGAGGAAACGTCTCCTGCCTATCGAGAGGTGCAGATGCAAAGAAGTTGGGAAATAAAAAGGAGTTTCCAGTGGCAGGGAAAGCTCATCTTTTTGAGGAGTTTTATCTCTAAATGTAAATTTTCCCAAGATTAAAATAATAATTTTTTAAAAAAAGCTTTAGCTCTAATATTGACAGCCTTAACATACGGACTGGAGGATCTCTACACCCAAAGGAGCTGGTTTCCCCTCAGGGGATGCAGCCCGCACCAAAGGGCCCAAGGGCAGGAGAGCTGCCCCGGGGCCCCACGAGGCGGCCGCAGCGCGAGGAGCGTCCCAGGAAGAGCAGGGACCAAGGCCGGAGGCTCCAAGGACACTTCGGAGGCTCCCGCCATCAAATTCCTTATGCAAGTAACCCCACATAAAACAATATATATATAGAATATATATAAAATATATTTATATATATTTATATATAAATAAAAAACCCTTTCAACTGAAAAAGCTCAGCTGCTTTAAACTCATTCAGCACAACCCTCCATACAGCTCTTTGTGCAAAGGAATCTTAACCACATGCAAAAGCTAGTTCCTTTTAAAAGGACACTCACTCACTATCCGACTACGGCTTCGTTTCCTCCTCAGACCCACCTCCCACCCTAACAACTTAAAGTTCCCATTCCGCTGAGGTCTAATACCCTGACGGAGGGTCGTGCTCCCCGGAGGTGCCTGTGCAGCCGGCGCTCTCGCGCCCGCGCGTCGGGAAGCCTCCACGTAGACAACATCTGCCTGGCGCTCCCGCATCCGCACTGCACACCAACATACACAAACAGATACACTATGGCTGTAGGAATTAACCGTTGCATATTCAGCACACACTACTTCACCAGCTAAAACCAAGGTGCACTTCTGACTGGGACTTTTTTTTCTTCCTTAAAGATTTATATTAACCTTCATCTTTTTTAGCCTGGTGCAGCATATAGGCAGTGTTAATTCATTCTTTAATATAAAATAATCCTTTGACTTGTAATTCACTAAAAGCAGTTTATATAAATGAAGTCCATTAGTTTTTGGCAGTTTCTTCGGACACAGTCAAAATGTTTCGCAGCTGTTGAAACATCCACCATTTTAATTTAAAACACATTTTTCGGAAAAGGAATAACAAATTAGGACTCACACTTACCTGTAGAGAACCCCCAAAGCCCAGTGAAGTACCAGACTGGCCTTCCGACTATGGACCCCTACTGGCACTGGCCTCTTGCCTTAAGTATCACATATAAAGAAGTTACACGTAAAAGTGACAAAGCCAAGCTGACTGTTAGAGCTTGTAGGAAAAGAAGATTTTGTTAAATCTGATCTAATTCTGCTTAGTCCCCTTTTCAGAGAACGTTATCAGTTCTAAATTCAATATCTTAGGGTAAATTGGTTGTTCAACCTGGGAGGCCAAAGGAAATAGCTGCACTGAGCGGCTGTCTCGTCCCTTTGCCTTCGCTTCAAGGACAATTCCCTGCCATTATCTGTGAGCCTCTACCTGGTGGACCCCCAATTAGCCCCATTTTCTCAGTCTCCCTCCAGGGGTTTGCTAACAAAGTGCAGCTGCCTTTGGTTGGTAGAGGGTCTCGATTTCAAATTGAAGCAGAGGGGGAAAAATTCCCAAGTCACCTTAATCATTGCCCAGGGCAGCAGGCAGGAGTGATGAGCAGCACTGCTGTGTCTCGCTAGATACACATAGATGATATGTCGGAACAAAATCAAATTGCTTCTAGCTGTGTCTGAAAGACACGACAACGGGAAACATATGATTTCCCTTGTCGCTATTCATGAAGGCTTCGATCCGAGATCAGTGAAGTGGCACCTTCACTGCAACAAAAACAGTGACCGACCTTCTGCCTCCGCGTGCTCTCCCCGATCACCAGTAAGTGGTACGGGGATCCCACCGTGTCCAAATTCTGCCTTCCAGAGGCCACAGGAAAACAGGCTCTCGGAGCCAGGAACGCAGAAGTCGGGCTCGCTCATGGATGGAGCCTCCTGGTGGGTTACAGCACCATGCAATGGAGCCATACGAATGCTTCAATTGCACATTCCCATTTTTAAACAGGAAAAATTAAAACAAAGAGCACGTGCTGGATTTCTATGGTATTTTCCAGGCGAAGCCTGGCTGCTCATCACAATACTGAATATGTTTCCTAGTTTGTTGATATCAGGGCCTCTCTTCTACCAAAAGAGTTCTCCACATGTTTACTAACAAATAAATTATTATTACAAGTCATAGTTCATCCTTTTCCATCATTTCAAATGCTTCTATATCTTCATTCCAGTCTGCTAATATGGATTCCATAGGTGGGACTTTATTATCCCAGTTAGCTTTGGAGTCTGACTCTGTGTCAGTTTTCTGTTCCTGAGGCTGGTTATCTGCTTGTGCGCATTCTGGCTCGGGAATACTACTAGCCTCAGTGTCAGGGACGTAGGAATCCTGATTTGAGGTGGAAACACTGTCACTGTCTGCAGGTGCAGGAGACAACGGATCCGGCTGAACAACGTCAGAGCTGTCGCCTCCCTCAGGCTCCTCACTGGCCAAGCCAACACCTTGAGATGCTGACGTAGTCTCTTCTGAACTCTGCTTCTGGGAATCATTTTCAGACAATTTCTGGTCCATATTGTCCACTTCCAAGTCTTTAAGAGGAGGAAGAAAAAAAGTGTTTTGAAAAAAGCAAAAAAAGCAGCATTTGCATAGGCATTTCAAATGCAAGATCACTATCTTCAAGTGCAGACTTTCTGGGTGAAACTAACTCTTCACGAGTGAAGCAAATGCTCTTTTAACATCCACTATGTGTGCATGCTGAATTTTAAAGCACTCCCAGATGCCTAACTAGAATTCCACATCCAAGCAAGTGGTTGATACACAGAGTTATGTTAGTTTGTTGAATTATGAATTAGAGAGCGCCAAAGCCCAAGTGCCTCCCTCCTCACATCTGAATTCAAAACAACTAACATTCGTTTTTCAAATACGGATTTAGGTAGTAACTTTGCGTGAGCTCCAATTTAACTACTCAGATTTCTTTAGAATCACGTTTGTAACTAGGATATAAGACGAGTTCTAGGGAGTATAGCTTCATATTTTAATACAAGATACTTACTGCTATCAATAATGTAGTTTGGAATCGTTTTACCTTTAAAGATCGTTGCTGGGATTCCAAACGAAAGCACGAGGAGGGGGAAGAAGCACAACCACATTACAAATTCTCACATGCAGAACTATCTTTTGCACTCAGTATTTTCTTACAACAGCTCAACCATAGTTATAATAGACAGGAAGAATCTCTAGGCAGCTATGACCAAACTGCACTTCAGCTTTCAGGTCATCACCTTTGCACACGTATAAGAAAATAAATGTTTTCACCAGCGTCCTAGAGACTTGTTCTCTACATGCTCTGCCTGAACAAAGCAATACTACAAATATTTAAATGTGGTCCAGAGGAGGGCTTACAAAAAGAAAAAAAATAGAAATCTCTGTCATACATAAGCATTTTAATTTGACGCATATTAACTTGTAGTTGTCTTGCATTATACAAGAAAACCCATCAAACTTCTGAGGTCAGCATCCTTATTTCTTGAGATAACCACTCTCCCTTACCTAGGCAAAATACTCAGCTCTTTCCTTTCGGGTACTGAGAATGTCACTTGGGAGCTTGATTAAGAGAGAGACATTTACAATGTGGGACACTGAAAACACTTAAATTATTCCGACAAGACTTCAAAGCAGATTATGACAAAAAGGATTCAAAAGGAATCCAAAGGGCTGTATTGTCTTGTTAGCCAAAGTGACATTTAACTTACAAACAGCACTTCTGGACTTTTATAATAAAATATGGGGGTGGCAGGGGAAGGACATCTCAGATAACAGCCTTTATATGAAAAGGTAATACTAATGTCAAACTGAAAGCTAAACTTGCCAAATAACCCACCTATACCTCTAGGTATCAACAGAAATCACTACCATACACTCCATACTGTGCCAAATCGCATAGATAGAAGCTAAAAATGCATATATTAAAAAAACAAACAAAAAAAACAAACACACATCATACTCCAACACCTCATACTTACCTCTATCTTTTGCTTTATCAGAAAGGAGCACCTCCACAGTCTCATATTCCCGGATTGCATCCAGTATAATATTTCCTTCCTTGTTGAAGAGGAAGAGCATAGGAATTGTGATATCATCTGTATTCTTTCCATCACCGGCCATTTGGAAGAGAGGAGCAGTGTCACTACTGCTTCCCTCGTTGTCATCTAGCCACACAGAAAAGAACCAGAAAACTCTTTTATTAGATAAAAAGATAGAAAGACCACAACTCCCAACCAACAATCACTTATGAGGATTCCAGGTACAGAATAGTAAATTGGCTGTGAAAAAAAAAAAAAAAAAAAAAGCGCACTTTAATACCTTCCATTTACTTTGTATATTAAAACTTCCTCAATAGTTAGCAGGAAATACTATTGCGGCACTCAGTGATCCTTGCAAGGGTAACTTCTAATCTGCAAAGGCAGTAACAATCACTCATCTCAATTTGTTTTAAATTTGTTTTAGCTGTGGGGTTTTTTTTTGTTTTTTTTTTGTTTTTTTTTTTTTTTCAATGCATATTTCAGCATTATGCAACCTGTATGTTCTCGGGGTTTTTGCATAGAACCGGACATAAACAAAGCATTTTTTCTCTGCTGAGATCGTAATTTCTGTATTGGAGTACTGACCCCTCAGAAGATGTAGCAGCTGGACAACTTTCCAGCACCTTCAAATCTAAAAAATATAGGTCATGTTCACCCAAATAAATAACTTAATTTTATTACCAATAACAATGCCTACTATTGCTCCTGCTTTTTGAATGTTTCGTGCCTTTTCTGCAAACATGCACTGGCCTCTCTGCATCAGAGCAATTTTCTCTTTCACTTCTTCAGGATTAGTGATCTCCGAGCATCCATTATATGGCTTAATGGTTGCAACAAATCCTCTTGTCTGTTTGGGGGGAAAAAAAATAATATTGAATTAGAGCAAGGCTCAAGCCTGCAAAAGTGTCCAAGACCTTTTCTCCAGATAATCTAATCTAGTTACTGTATTTTGTCACTTTGGAGAGCCTGCATGCTACAGCCTGAGCTTTAGTTCTATGACAAGAAAGAATGACTACATGAAAACTTCATTCTTCCATCCTTATATTTTGACTCTACCTACTGTCTCCAGTAGGAACACTTGCCTAAATGATACCTTCTTCTTGGATGAAAGTTTGCCTAAGAGCCTAACTTCAAGAGGGCTTCTGCAAATCCATGACCCGTGTAGCAGATCTTGCCTTAAGTGAACTTACTCTCTTAAGATGTATACTGCACGTTACATATATTTGTTTCAGTATGTATTATATTCATAGCACATACATATACAGAGACTATATTAAATCTTAAATCATGACTGATAAGTGTGGAGCAGAACACAGGCTGCAAACTGATAAGCCACTATCTTCCATCACTGTTGCATCCCATCGTTTTAACTGCTGCAATTAAACTAACCTCTAGCTGACCAACCTGAAATAGCATCGATACTACCAAATTCAGGTTCATGAAAGAAAAAGCAACAGAAAGACTGCAACAGATGACACAGACATCTTACATACCCCGGCTTTGTGTTTGGACAAGTCCATTCCAAACTGGGCTGGCCCAGCAGTCAAGACCACCCTGCCGAAGAACGGATGGGAAACTATTTGAACAGCGCGAGGAGGGAGCTGCTGCTCTTTCTGCTGCTGACTGGATAGTTCAATCATTTCTTGCATGAACCGTAAACCATCTTCAGCATCAAGTGAACTTGCTGCCTATGTAGTTTTAAGGGGAGAAAGAGAAAAAAATAACAAAACAACAACAACAAAAAAAACCCCACGCAGCTAAAGTGTTTGATAAACTTGAAAGGAAAACAAGAAAACAAACCAGAAGTGATTGCTTTAACCACTGTTTACACTGCATACAATGATACTTTAGTGATTCAGAATAATGCTCTGTTTTATCAGTTTTCTAACAGAACACTACTGTGAGCAAACATTAAACGCCACAAAGATATTAAAATACAGAATGGAGGCCCACTGTCATTATTTCATCACCTCAGATAAAAAAGATGACCCCTGAAAGGGAGTATTTAAGTGTTTTTTCCACACAAATTGTGGGTGAAATTAGCTAGACAGAGCAATCTTTCCTAAACAAGTAGAAAAATCTCAAACTGAAAACTATTATTTTCAAAAAGATGCAGTTAATTACATTGTTTTGAAATTCTTTTATAAAAGGAATTTTGTTTCACTAAGGTAAACCCCTGGTTTCCATCCCCTACATTTAAAAAAGAGAATTGATTTAACCAACCTTAAATCTTTCAAAACTGATGGCTTACAGAATTCTCTATATAGAGAATATGAAGAAATATTAGGGTTTTATATTTTGGGGAGCACATTAGGATGTGAACTAACTTCTAATCTCTAAGTATCACTTTTCTATCCAGAGACAAATTATGTCCACAGCCTAACTCAGTAACTAAATATCAATTTGCAGATATGCACAGAACACATCCAGCTACGACAGTGCTCTTTTTTACCTGACCAAACCCATCAGGGCACATCAGGGCAAAAATAACACTCTCCAACACAAATGTATCCTATAAATTCAAGGTTAAAAAAACTCTTCAAAATTAAAAATATTTTTTTAAAGTTGAGAAAATTTCTACCTAGGAATCAAGTGCAAATGTGTATGTACTAATGGCTAATGGCATCAGCAGACAAGTAGAATTTTGTGTTGTGAATAACATCCATCTAAATTAATGGAAATTTGATGGAAAGTGCTCTGTAGATGAAAAATTAACGAGCAACCACTTATTAAATCTGGTTATATATCAACGCGAAACGCCGCTTCCACAGTAAGTCTGCCTCTCCTGAACTGCTAAAAGAGTCAAAAATCCTAATGGGTTGGGTTTTACTAAAGATTTTAATAAAGGTTACTTACTTGCACTGCATGTTGCACTAATTGCACTCTTCCATCTTTGAGATGGATCAAACTGACTCCCATCTTCTTCAATATTTCCAAATGCTCAGGATTACTGGCCATGAAATCTCTGGCTCTCAGTGGTGGTTTTGGTCCACTTCCCAAACTCTCTTCTCTGCCAAAAAATATTAGAGATCAAAAACAGATTATTCCTGAGACCTTACACACACTTTCATAAGTTATTCCTTCCATCACAAGATGGGAATTCTTTGGAATAAAGCTGCTGAGTATAAACTTCACTAAAATGCAACTTCTCAGCCAAATTATCTTTTGAAAGAGTTGCTGACATTCTCAATCGTTTTGTACAAAAGAGCACACACAGTGTTGCTAAAAATGAAACCACTAAAAGCTATTTCTCATTTTTAAGTAGTCTGCATTATTGCAAGAATGATTAAAAACAGTCTTTCCAGTAGAACTGCAGCTCAGTTTTATTCATGAAGTATAAATATCAAAAGGCCAGTCAGAAGGATAAGCTAACTCTACTTGGACAGACTGTCCTGAACTTTTCAAAATACCTAAGATTATCTGACATTATTTACTTAGTACAGAAAAGAAGTTGCAGAACTGTTCAAGAGATTGCAGAAATCAAGACTACAACACTTTTCTCATAACAACTGGGCTACAATTTACTCTTATGGCACATGACTCAAGATCCCTTTGCTTTGGAAGACTCTCCAATTCCTTATGGAAATTGAGTTTTGCTGATAATACTAGACAGAACATAAATGACTTTTCCCATAGTTAGGCTATCCATTCCAAAAGGACTGCAAACTCAAACAGAGTAAATCTATACCCCCATAAACTAACATGCTTCGCCTCCCTTGCATAGCAGACAATTCCATTCACTCCTACACTATCCAAAGACAGCAAATATTCATCTTACGCTCTGGAAATACCCCGAGGACAACTTTTATCCACCACATTTTTCAAAGGTTCACGAATACTCTGGGCAAACATGGGGTCATTCGGGAAAAGGATCTGGGTGTTTGGGCAGGTCCAGTCAAAGTTGCTGTCATCCAGCTCTGTGAATTCTGTAGTCTAAAATAGAAGAAAAAGATCACTTATTAAAAATGCAGATATATTTTTATAATAAGAAAATCAAATAGGCCCTTAAGTCATCAGTGTACACAGGACATGCAGCAGATGAAGACTGTCACAACCATACAGTTTCCAAGCATGACGAGCGCACAGGCCTCACCTTGTAATGCTAAACAGTAACCAGTGTACTACAATCCCTTTTTAGGGATAAAAACCACATTCTCATTTGAGCCTACTGTCATTGATTACTGCCAGGCCTTCATTCATAATTCCTCCATACTACTAAGAATGTCACCCCTTTCCTTGAACGAGAACATTTTCTACTTATCATTCTAGAAGATCAAGTTTTTTCATATGATAATCTAACACTTCCTAAAAATAAGTATGTATTTATGAAGAACTGCAGGTAGAAAACCAGTAGCCCTTTGTACATATATATTTTTTAATATAGCAACAAAAGATTCTCCCCTGGGGAGCATTATAGTCTCACAAATCTGCACAACAATGTCAAACCTTTATATAACTAACAACATCTATTCTCAGAAAAGGTGTCATCTTAGGAACTAGCATTTGCACAAACCAGTGTTTTGTAACATGTGAAATCACGTGGAATATGTATGTGCACAATGGGAAATTTGTCACAGTCTGTTCTCAGATCTGAGTGACTCTTCGGATAACTGGCCATTTGGTTTTTCCATCAGTAAAATGTCATTAAAAATAATGCAGTGATCTTAAGAGACTCTTAGCTATTCCACACACTTTGTTGACACCACTTTAAATGTGATTTTTCTTACTTTGGAATTAGTCACATTAGCAGTTTCCACTTACCAAACAACTGAACAAAACTATGTTCACTAAACTATTGCATTCTTTTTTCAGAACTTTTCTGAACACTTGGTATTTCAAGAAAACTATATATATTAGGTAAGCACTTCATTCCCACTACAGAGGGAATCCTGTCTGTCTCAGCTACAGGTATAACATTCTCATGCTGGGAATAAAGTTATAGGCTCTCTTTGACACTTCTGGTAACTTCCTGCATAGTGTGGAAAATGCTGGACGCATCGAATAAAAAGCAACACGAACGTTATACTGAAAATGCAATCCCTCTTAAATTCATTCTGCCTTTTCTTCATAGTTTCTCTTTCTAAAATTTAAGCAGAGATGTTAAATGCTCAGGGAAAGAACATTTTGGAGATAAAGAGTGTGCCAGATCTGCACCATCTGGGAACACTTATAGTCAGCTCCAAGACGTGTTAAAAGTATTACCAGTGTCAGATGTTAAGAGCAAGTTATTTCCAGTTCTTTCTTTTTAATGTTCGATTCCATGAAACATCACACACTACCAAGCTTTAAGATTTCCCCAGGATGTACATAGCTTTAAATAAAACAGGAGTTCTCTTCTGATTGAGAAATTATTTCAGAAGACATATAAAAAAAAAGGTAAAAATAAGGCAAAATAAGGAATTTATGGTCCTGATGCTGCGGACACCTTTCTATTCACTCTCCCATTCACTTAACTTGCTTGTCAGCAGTTATATACCTGAAAGATAAACTATACCATCTAAAACCAAGGAGATGAGTGTTTACAGCATTCCATGACACACTTGTACTACCACAAGGTATTTAAGAAGGTTAAAAGAAGCATCCTACAATATTAACTTCACATTAGCCTCAAAATACTGTTGTAAAAATCACAGAGGGTAACTGTAGTAATGTAGCAAACAAAAATGTTGCCACGTCATTTATATAAGTTTGAGAAACAAATTAAGAGAAAATAATCATGAAGATAAAATGCACTGTTATTTTCAGATCTACATGAATAGAGACAGGGAATGTGTCCCTTTTTAAATACTATTCATATTCCATAGCACTTTTCACAAGATTCAGTGCTGCAAAATTCCATCATGGAAAAATTCTTCATATTCATTTGACTGCAAATATTATGATTAAATAATCATAAGTCAAATGCAAATATTATGCACTATTTTGATATTTAATAATAAATTTATCAACTGATACAATAGTTCACATTAAAAAAAAAGTTGAAACTGATAAATTTCAAACAAATTTTCCTTTTTTTTTTCCTGCCCGTTTCTTATAATAAGAGAGAAAATGCTTTAAAGCAGCATTAAACATGGATATAAGTTTTGAGCTGATACTTACTGTATTTTTTTTAGATATTGTTTGGTTCGTAGTGGAAAGCCAAAGTGGTAATAGATGAGCTTCTGTAGTGAAGATGTAGTCTTCTATGTCAAAAATCATGTCCTCCTTATCAGCAAAGAGCAGATAAAGATACTTGAACATCTCAGCGAGAAAGAAAGAATCCATTCTACGGAAGGGGGAGAAAAAAAACACACCCTTTAAAAAGGCAACCATATTTTCTAAAATACCAGTATATACATGCATATTTGCTCCACCTCCGAAATGTCCATGGTATTGCTGAACTTAATTCCATTAGTGTTTTTTTCCAAATGGAAAGACGGAGGGAAATGATTTAAGATAATTCAAAACGTCATTTCAGCAACCTCAAATAAACCTCCTTCAAAGAAAAATTCGAACCCTAGCAGTTTGTAAAGTAATTCATCTAGTGTTCTGAGACTACTAAAAGAAGAGCTTAATGTGAAAAGTTGTAAGACACTGCAAATATGTTTAATGGAATCTAGGAAATCATTTCAATAGTTACAGACTAAGTTCAGACTTGGCCATCCAGCAGAACGGAGAAGGCTGCTCAGAAGTCAGGGAATTCCATTATACAAACAAACAGCTTTTTTTGTTTTGTTTTTTATAAAGATTTTAGAAAGCAATTATCAACACAAAAATCTTTTACCTGTCTTCATGACTTCCAGTACGGACGTCCTTCATTGCAGCAAACCCACAGGGTACCCTCGCATACTTGTTTAAGTTTTCAATAAGTGTTTTTCCTACTTCTAGATAGTAAGGATCCCCAGTAGCCTATTTAAAAAGAAACAAACAAACATAACCCCAACAAAGGTGAACTTAAGACCTGCAGGTTCTGTTTTTTCCACCTAATTATTTTATATACTCTGGTTTCCTGTCTTCTCAGATAGCAGTAAGATCTAGTTATCAATGTTTCACATAAGTGTAAGAGATGAGATGTAACTGTACTACCTACCCTTTTACACGTATGCAGATAAACACATGGAAATTCTTAAAAGAAGCCCAAGACACATGGGCACTACTGTGCTCTACTCCACAAGGTAAAAGTGGCTTAGGCACTTGTCTCTGCTGAGAGCAGGAGCAGTAACACCTATTGCCTTTAAAAAATATGGACCACTGTCACCTAATGATTTCCTTTTAATTCTAGGCACATAAAACTCCCAGAACAATTCGGTACCTTCACCTTATTTTATACAGAACCAGCTCAAGCAGATTAAAAAAAAAAACCCTCAGATATGCAACTCATTCTACATTGAAATACAATACCAGTTAAATTCTAGAATAGGTAAAGATGACCAAAAAACAGAGATAAGAAAGTGATCTTACTTTATACAAGAAATAAGTGCTTTCTGCAAATTCAGGCCTTAAAGGATGCTGAGCCCAGTGCACTCTAAAATCTGTCGTGAATGCCTGAGGATGGAAAAGGAACAGTCAAAAATAAGTGTCAGAACAAAATCTGCACAAGCTGATTTTGATTCCCAAATTAATTATTTTACAGCAGCTAGAGTACTCCACAGCTGAGGCTGGCAGGTCCAGGGAAGTGTATGTCTACTGAACACTGCCACAGAAGCTACAAACATCATTTCTGAAGAGACAGCTACCATTTGCCACTGAACACACACATTATTGTGTTCAGCTGAAACGAAGCTCATATCAGCCATTTCCAACATAGAAAATAGCAGAGACGAGAGATCAAATCATGCAAGAATTTCCTAGATTATATGTTCGCTCTTAATATTTTGCTCCCACAAAAAAAGCACTGACAAATGCTAATCTGCGTAACAACTTTCATTCAGTACCAGCTCATATTAGAATTTAAGCCAAGTCTTTACTAAAGGGGATGCACATTGGCTTAGACTTAACTACTTCATCTTTCAAATTCTTCTTTGAAAGTACAAAGCACTGGGAAAAAATAATAAAAAAAAATACAGCGACAAATGGTAAAGTACTCCAAAAAATTATCTCTAGTCACCCAAATGATTTTCTGGACTCACTTTCTACATTAAGTGAACGTAGTGTTTCTTAAAATATTCTCTAAAACATATTATCTTACCCAAAGGAAAAGCCAAGTTATGATTGCAGTCGGAAGTTCTCATTTATTCTAGATTATCACAGAATAATGAAACACTTGAGCAGGTTTTTCTGTGCACAACTAACTTGCCCAAACAAAGCCCGAGCTTGCAATACCTACAGATCACTCCTCCTACCTACTCTTAAGGATGCAAGGCAAAATTTCAGAAAAAAAAAAATCAGCATTTAGTTTCCTTTCTTGTATTTCTTGGGTTAATAAAGACAATAAAATTAACGCTACAAGATCACAGCTCTGTTACTAGGCAGCTACAGGTAAGAGTGCTTTTATCAATTTGTGAAATGATTCAAGGTCAATTTGGAACAGCTGAAGTAAAATCTAAGTAATTATTATAGCAACAGCTCCCACTCTCATGCTAATTACAGCATAACTGAAGGAAAAGTATTCTCTGTCCAAAACACAGTTGTCATACATGCAGAACTGTAGACTGCTGAGGCAAACTGCTGAAATGAACCTTTGTTTTTAATCACATAAAAAATATAACATACCTCAGGAAGAAAGTTATGCTTTTTTATAACCTGATACAGCATCTCATGAGTTTCTATAGCAGGTCGAATATCACCCTTCAACACCTAAAATAAAAGAATAAAATTAAATTCACCACCCACAGGAGCAATATGCAAAGTTAGGCAGATTTACTGTGTTCATGTAAAGTCCTATGGCAATTCCTACATTTCCAGCAGACCCACACTGTAAATGTAATCCCTTCCTTCCAGTGTAAGCCACACATATTCCTTAGAGCTTTTTTACAAAATCAGTAAGCTCATTAAGACTGCAGCCTAAGTAGGAAAAAAATATCCCGTTTATAGAGAACTGTGGAATGGGGGGAGAATTCAATTTAGTTTGTATGAAAGATGTTACTGACACAAAAAACAATGTCTTAATCTATTAGAAAGGAGACTTGATTGCAGTGTTTTCATAACCATGAATGAAAGTAGCCAAACATAAGGACATACCATAAGGAGAAGGTACTTAAAACAGGAGAACAGAAGTGACAGGATTAAGCATATAACCCCCTTTTCAGTAATTTCACTTTCAGAAATGCTAAGACTGACTTGTCATTTATATTACTGACAATTTTTTGTTGTTGTTTACTTGTAATTAAATTTTATCTGTATATGGATGTTAAGACCCACCTGCAACCCTGGGAAGAAAGCTAGCAAAGAATCCATCCAGGTCCTAGCATTTAGCATAGGTTTGTGAATATGAACATCAAGTAGAAGAGGCGGCTGGCTAATGTATCTCATTATGGCATCGTAGTGCTGACAAACATCCAAAAAAACATGAGCTTATGTTATCAATAAGTTTCAAAGAGAAAAAAAGAAAAAAAGTTTAAATCACAGGCTTATGTCATTCTATTTCAAAATAAGAACAAGCATTAAACTCTAAACTACAATTGCATTTGGTACACCTGCTAGTTTTGCAAATCAAAAGGTGAATTGCAAATTAACTATTGCAAGGCCTCTCAGTATTAAACACAATACACTCCACCTTTCCTACCATGAAAGTAAAACCACAAGCCAGCAGCCACACAATAAATGGGTAACTTATCACAAGGCTCTCTTGCTTTGACCGAATCTTAAAGAACACAGTAACCAAAGATGAAGCTGCTTCCTCCAAACAGGAGGATTCAAAAACAAATACACCTCCTGAGGGAAAAGGAGGTTTAAACATAAGCAGCTGGACTAGATCACTCAAGAACTTTAAAATCCATTTGCTTGCTTATCAGTTTTCCAACTTCCAATCCTCTTCACCCCAATATAGCTGTCCGAAACTGAAGCCCAGAATGTAAGTCATAAGCACATGAGCTGAATCAATGGCAAGCACATAACAGACATAACTGAGGCTAAATACAACTGTGGTGTTGCCTGTAGCGGGTCAGGAATATGAAATAAACATTTTAGTTAAGGTGTTATAACAGGCTTATAACTATTGGTATATTCCAGTTTTAAATGGCTTATGATATAAAATGAAATGTTTTTATTGGATACTGCTATTTTCTAACATTTTATGAAATAATAATGGTGCCAAGAGATTTTCTTTGTGACTTTATGAATCTAGTAATCTACTACATATGCTTTTCAGTTTGAAAGTATATTTAAATATAAATGGGCCTTACTAGTCCTAAAATTATGGACCTGGAGTGCAATGCAGGATCCAGATTTCAATTTTCACATCATCTCTGTTACTCCAGGACATTAATAAGTTATACCACCTTCTGTAATCATAAGCCCTCACATTGTTTTACAGAAACATTTCCAGTGTCGCACTCTTCAAAGCCATCTTCAAATACAGCACCTCCTGTACTGGTAGCATGGTAAAACATTCACAAGAAGATTCCAACCTTTGCTGGATGAGGTTAAAATACTTCATCAGGTGACAGTTCATTCAAGATCAGCAAAAATCTGTACTGAATCAGAAGGTGCAGAAATTCTGCCAGAAGGTTCATAATGGGCTTCCCAGTCTATCAGCTGACTGACAGCAAAATAAGTCTTAAATTAGTCTTAAATGAGGAACAAATCTGAGCAAGGACTTACTGTATTAAATCTTTCCAGGAAACTGTCATCTCCCAGCAAGACATAGGCTTTTAATAAATATTCATAATATGAATCTATTCCTGCTCCAACTCCACTATCTAGAAACAGAAGACGAAAACGTGGTTTCACTTTAGTTATTTATATATATATTTTGAATCTAAAATGAAACAAAAAAGACTCCTATCACTAGAATTATGGCACAAGTGGCTATGCAATATTAATGCACATAATAATACAAACAAACATGCATTTAGGATTCATTCCTCTTACATGACACCATGTTTTTACTAACTGGCATGTACAACTGAAGTCTTATTTTTCACTGGGTATTTATAGAAGAGTCCCTGAAAATTTATCCCAAGGCATTCTCCTCACTTGTAAGTGAATTAGAGCACATGTTCTCTGCAATGGAAAAAAACCTAATTTATCAGCTGAAATACTCCTTCAAAGAAAAGCCAGGTCTTCTTGTGGCAAGATTCTTCCAGATCTCAAGTATGCATGTACACTTGCCCATCTCATTAACATTTTAAAATAAACTAGATAAATGTGGAGGGGAAAATGTTAAACACACCACTACCACAAGAACTTTTTATTCCCCCAAACCACCTGTGGTCACACATCCTGGAGTCAGAACACCACACACCTTTGCGGACCCAGTCTCCAGTGTGAATATTAATAGTAACGCCCACTAAATTGCTACTGCGTTGTCTCTTTTCCCAAATAAAATCAAGTGCTTTCCGTGCATATTCCTGCAACAGACAAACAACAAACTCTTTAAATGAAACTAGAGAAACAAAGCAATTAAGAAGAGACTGACACAGAAGATTATTCTTTCGTGTACTGAAATTAAGATGCTATGAAGTAAGATATTCCATATGTAAGCAAGAATTACAAAACTCAGTATTATGTTACATACGCTTGAACTGTAGAACTTTCAGTCCACATTTGTTTAGTCATTCTCTTGCTAATTAGAAGGCATGGTGCTCTTTTACACAACTCTTTGCCAATACACTGTATGATCTTATGAAAGTCATAAAAGTCCCTCTGCCCAGGCTTCCTAATCTGTAAAGCTGTGTATACAGAAAGGGTATTGTAACCTAATTAAAGAGCAATTCAAAAATAAAAATATTTCAAGAAATGTAACAGCCTCAGAATCACCAGACTTTTCAGACATTTCAAGGTGGAGCAGCAATGCTTGTCCATCAGCACATCAACAATATCTGTTCTTTACATAAAGGGAAGAGGAAGTCACGGGTAACAGCTGACAAACATGGCTCTGGATTGCCCGCCACATGCTCTGGGCTTCAGGGAGCGAGTTCTGCCAACACTCAGTACTGACCTAGCTGCGCTTCCACTGGGACCATGGAATGATAGGAAACACTGCATCAATACTGACTGCTTGTACCGCTTGCAAAAAAATTCTACGCTAAGAAAGTGGTGGGGTTTTTTTGGTTTCATTGTTTTTAATCATTTACTAAAGAAACTGTGTCTGCAAACATTTTTATTCAACTTTCTGGTGACAACACACTTGCGTAGGTACTGCACAAATTCAAGTGGACTACTAATTAAGGCACTTTTGAAAACGCCCTTCGTAATGGGCAGTACCAAGCCATGACATTGACAGCTTTCTATTTTTCTTTCTCTACAAAAAGGAAGTAATTATAACTGTTTAATTATTTTAGTCTTTCCTGATACAATGCGAAGTAAACAGAAGAAATATAGTTAAGAATAAGTTTACTCCATAGCTTCTGTGTAGAATTTTAATGCAATATTCAAAACTTACCTATCACCTATAGGGACTACCATACATTTTTCACCACTTAGGATTCCTGACAGCCCTGCAACTCAGGGAAAGTCTAAATAACTAACAATCTTAGCAGAAAAACGGAGCAACAGAGATGCAAAAAGCAAGGCTGCACAAGCTCAGTGAACACATTAATCTATGCAGACAGTACTAGGACACAGTTTCGAAAGTTTATTACTAGCAGTGATGTGGGGGGAAGAAAAAATCAGCTTGTGAGCAAGACTCCAGCTTTGTAGGTAAAGCTGGCAAAGAAAATCTATGACATCAACTCATTTCTGACTAAGCAATAAAAGTATAAAGCTTATATTTGAGCGATTTTTTTTCCTCTTTTTAAGCTGCATTTTAAAGAACAAAAATATCTCTCTTCTTGCTAGTCTAACAAATGACTGGCACTCCTCCATCTAAATATTTTGGAGATACTATCTTTCAACTGCAGTTTTCAGAACATTGACCTTAGTTACTTCTGTATTACTATGAATACTTATTTTAAAAAATTACTTCCTGGAGGTTTTAAGTTTAACAGCACTTAAACAACAACAAAAAGAAAAAAACGTCATCACAATACGCACAAAAAGTTTGTGTATTTGGGCAGAAGAGCTTATATGCATCCATTTGATGAACCCCAAATTAATTTTCCAAAATTAGAGAAATGTTAAACAGAAAACTAATGCAAACCTAATCCCAACAAATAAAATATCATGGAAAGCAAACCTCAAATATAGATGTTCCTGTGAATCGGCTTAAAGCTGCAAACTCAAGGATCAAGGTACCCGCACAAGCTGTGCAGGTATCTGTTTCTGTTCCTGTTCGTGCTTCTGGATGCCTCACACCAAATTTCAAGTTTACCTAGAGAAATGAAGACATTATCACCACTTTTACTAGTTCCGGGTCACATTCCCATGACTGATCTGTACAACAACCAGATAATCCACACTTTTCCTAAAACCAAGAAAAAAGGACGACGACTCTCTCTTTTCAAATTACTTTTACCCCCATACTGTCAGCTCAATCATGGTTATAAAATCATCCAGAAGAAAGTCTCCCCAAACTAGGGCTGGCCCAAAAGCCAGTTGCGTGGTTCATTAAACAGCTTAAAAAAAAAAAAAAAAAAAAGACCATCTCGCTGAAAAATAAAGTTTTGGTAATTTATTTACCAGGAAGGCAGAGCATCTTGGAACCTGACTCATTGAAATTGAACCTTATAAATATCTTCATAGTCCTGGCTCTAGACTATACCTGCTAACTGAACATGCGTCTGGACCAGGTGCAATCTGGAACAATTTGAATTAAACATTTTTTACTAGAAAAATGCAGATTTACTGTGCCTAAAATTAATGTGTGGGGAAATTGCCCAAAAAGCTAAATCTCACAAGAAGTCAATGGACCATACACACAGGGAATATTTTTCCGTCATTCCAGAAGTGAAACATACCACGCTTTGTTTGACTATAATTACATGTTTTACATTCAGTGAATATTTCCAAATTACAGTTCTACAGTTATTTTTGCCTGTTTAAATAGTTGAATTGAGACCATGAAGATTAAGGTATTTTGTGCTAAATTAACAAGCACATGCTTACAAGATGATCTTTCGTTGACTTAGCGAGAGATAGGTACCATAACGGGACTATTCTTGTGAGCTACTTGGTAGTACAGAGCAGAGAGAAGCAGGACATCTATACAGAGATATTAGACAAGATACCCGCTGTTTCTGTCTACCCAAAACAATGTACATTAGAGTTGCCTGAGCTGGAAAAGTCAGAGATTCAGAGAGCCCAAAACGGTACTTCAAAATTCATGTTCATGTGTCACAAAATAGATTCCTATCAAGACTTTGATTTTCTATATGCTTAATGAATATATACAAGTGATTTTAAAAACCAAGATTAAAACAAAGTAGAAGTTTTGCTTATAGAAGCATTTTTGAATTGCAGAGACCACAGAACTTACTCTTGGATAAGGGAGACCGCTAGTGGTGTTAAAAGCAGGCAAAAGCTTGTAGCCTAGTTCCTTGGCCATGTGCAGGAGCTCACCGCTGTACCACTGCATAAATTCACCTTTCTCTTTCAGCATAATTGCCACTGAATGCCCACCTAAGAGACCTCTAAGAGAAAGAAAATACAACAAAGTTATTCGCATCTCGGTAAGTACAGTCGCTTCAAAAGCAGCGCAATTTCTAAAATTCTGTATATAAAAATACTCTATAAATAACCGTGCCACAGTTGCATAGGTCTAATTTTCAGAAATGGTGAGTGCATCCAGTTCCAGCTATTATGAGTGTGCTTTCAGCATTTTGGAAGTAATTTTTATTGTTTAGGATTCTGTCCTAAACAGGAACCACTGCTTTATCTACACAATTAGTTGAGAATAACTAACACCTCCAAAACTGTTCAAAATATCTTAAAATTAGCCTATTCTGATCCTGCTTTTAGCAGATAATTAGACTACAGACCTCCAAAGATACCTTTCAGCCTGCAATAACCTAGGATCCTAAAGGAATGTTTAATCTATTAAATCAAGTGTTGAAAGTATAACTATTTCTATTAGGAGAATAAGCCACCACTACTATGGCACCCTTGCCTTTTTTCCCCCTGCTTTTCAATCAAAAAGTGAAAAAACAAAAGCTGCGCCCGCAGGGATCAATGGCAGCCAATTTCTGCCTTATATTTTAAAGCCTTCCTTACAGCAGCTGTTGAATTATGCTGCCAAAGGAACACCTGTTTTAAACAAGGTGAAATAGCACAGAAACATATGCCTTAAGGACATTAGCCAGAAAGCACATCTTCTAGAATTCAGATATCATAGAAATTACTCACCCAAGGACTCTTATGTTGGTTTCAAAGACTGATACGACTATGTCATTATCTAAATTAACGTCTTTTATTACTTTTTTTACAGCCTCTTCAAACTCTTTGGTTTTATTTAACACCTGGAAAACAAATATGGGTAGGAGTTCAGGTCCAACACAGTTAATACTCACACTCAAGTATTATATAGCAGAGCAATGGATTAAAAGAGAAGCATTCAAGATGTTTCAGACTGGTATTTGTCCCCTTGCAGGGGCACACTCTGATGCACTGTGAACAAACTGCAGTATTACTGTTTTTGTTGTGAGATTCATGTGACAGAGCAGACAGGGAATAACAGCCACAGGAAAGCACAGCTCAGGGATTTGTTTGTCCCTTCTACTCCCTGACAGCAGCACAAGTGGATTCAGGGGGCCGCAGGCCTCATCTACGCTAGCGGAGCTAGCTTCCTATCCACAGGCTCAGAAGCCTCATCCTAAATTAGATGAATTGTCTTGAGCAGTCTTCCTGTTCCCACCAGTTTCCTCCCTTTGCCTGAAGCACAGCTTGGTCGCTTCCTTCAGGTTTCCTTCCTCACTGGCGTTCTTTTGGTTACAAAGATTTGTGATGTAAAGATTTTGTGACCCATTCAATTCATTGTTGTAAACACTTTCAAATTACAAACGTTAATCTTGCTCTAAGACAAGAGAAAAATAAATCACAATAATCCATTAGAGCATCTGACCAAGTCTTGGGAGTTGCAGGCTCCAAGTTTAATGTCTGCAGGTCTGTTTCAGACAAGTCAGGGGTCATCTTATGGCAACATTATAATAAGAGAACAGTCCTCAGAGAAAGAGCATCATATGATTCATGCCCCAAAGCAACACTGTCAGGAAAATCTAAAAAGTTTTGAAAGTCCTAGGAACAGGGAATGGCCAAAAATCACTCTTAGTTTAAAAAAAAAAAAAAAAAGCCTACTTTATTAACCATAGGACTTCTTTATAAGAGACAAAACACGAGAAATTTGCCAACGTTTCTTGGCAAACAATTCCAGAGTTTTTTTTATAACATATATTTAAGTTCATACAAATATATCCACAAAAACATTTGTATGTACACTTTAAAAACAAACAGTTCTGCAGATATTAAGAGGTGTGTGCCTGTAAGTCTTGCAACCTTCCTCTTTCAGGAAGGAACTGTACAAAGACAACACTGCTTTACAAAGTGCCTGGTCAGCATGTTGCTATAAATCGTAACAGGAGGCAAACACACATACCTTTTCATTTTGTTGTGGAGCCCAAGAAAAACAAGAGAAGAAAATGTCAATGAACTACCAAGGAACTGTTCTAGCTTTCTCTTTGCAATGAATTCCAAACACCACCATCGCAGCACTTGGAAGCTCTTACAAGCAATAGCCACTTTTAACAGATGGCTAGAAATCAAAGGTGAAGCAAGAGTAAATTGTCTATCATATATAATAGAGTGCTTAACAAACTAAACACCAAAAAAGAAGTTGAAACAGCAGAAAACAATCTTTGCTTTAGCTAAGTTTATCAATAGATTAAACCCACCACAAGAGTGTCCAAGGTATCAATCAAGGTCAGGGAAAACCTATGAAATAAAAATTAGAACAAATTTATTATTATAAGCTAGTATGTTTAGAAATTAAAATACCATGGAGGAAATGAAATTAATTCTCACACATCTCCAGCCATTAAAAAGTTAGTTTTATACAGTACATGTTTAATATCAAAACTTCCCCTTGCTAGTGATCAAAACAGGAGTTGATCTTAATGAGTTACGACCCAACAGAATCGTTCAAAGTCTTTTTTCAAACTCCTTTTCTTTCTTACTGAAAAATGTTGTCTAAATGTAGTTAAAAAAAAAAAGGGTCTATTTTGAAGGATCAAAGAATCATTCACTATGGAAAATCATTCCAACTATCTACTTAAAAAAACAAAACAAAAAACCCACAAAGCTGTGATTTGTTGCAAGCACCAACGAAACACTCTAAAACACAGTGATTCTTTGCTAGGATGAAAGCTCATCAACAGCTACAACATAGCTTAGGTAAATGCCTCCTTGGTGTACATTAGGAGAGAAAAAACAAATCTCAGTGCTGGAATTATTGGTGAAAGGATAAAGAAAATGCTGCTATTTTGTTAAGAACTTCTCTCTTGGTTATAATGCAAAAGAAAAAGGCACAAAAATGAGCAGTACAAACGGCTGACATTGTGTAGGAACTTCTCTATGAGGAGCAAGCAAACATGAGAGCACTGCAGCCTGCAAAAGTGACAGCTGAAGTGTCATCTGATGAAGATTTTCAAGTTGAGCATGACATGAAGAAAATGAATGGGAAACTGCTATTCATTTTTTCTCACAGTAAATATCACCCAGAGCCACCCAGCACTGGCAAGTGGCAGGCTTAAAATAAAGAACTACTTCCAGAAAAGAGAACATCAAGCCAAAGAACTCACTGCCACAGGTAGTTTTGGCTTCAGAAAAGCCAAAAGCTTATCTGGATTTGAAGAGTGATTAAACAAAAATTTGCATTAAAATCCACAAATGGCTTTTCAAGAGATATCTCCTTGTGCTCAGATGCACTTAGATCCATATATCTGCCACAGAAGAATCACAATAAGGCTTGTTCTGTTCATGTATTCTTCTCCAGGCCGCTTACAGTGCTAATTACTGTAGACAGTGTACAAAGTTGTGTGGACCCTTTGTCTGACCTGATATAACTACTCTTATGTTAGGAAAAGCAAAACACTTAGAAAAGAATTTACAGAATCCTTAGGTAATTCTATTAAAATTGATTTCTTTTTGAAAACAGTTACTACTGGAACCACTGAATGGTTAGCAAATGCCAAGAACTTAATATTAAGTGCTCCATACTTGAGACACTGCAGAAGATAGTTGCTTGTGCATGAGAATAATTAAAATTCTACTCAAGAGGTCACATACTGCCACTTTCATCTTAAGTTTTAAGATATGACATTCTGTGCCATTATATGAGAGGGACTATTTTTTTTTTTAATCTCACACAATTTGGGGAAGATTATGTATTGCATACCTATAGAAAATTTATTGCATAGTTATAGAGAAGGCTAGTGTACATATACGCTCCCTAGCCTAGACTGAACCAGAAATGACTGAGCCATCTCATCCTGTGATTTTAACTACACTGTGATTGCAAAGAACATAACTGATGAGTCAAGTAACAAGAAAAATTATTACATAAGGCATTTGATAAATGACTTACTATTTTAAAAGCACATACACAGCAAATACATTGCTCAAGGCATCTAATGGGTCAGAGCGATATTTTCACTCAAATGATGCTATGTTGTTATGTAAACAAAGGTTGTTGAAAGGCATACAGGACCAGGATTAAAAATACTATTTTTTGAGTTTTCTTTTCATCCATCACATCTCTCAGTAGGAAGCTATTATCTCTACAGTCAAACCATGCAATTTACATGGATGACAAGATTATACAGGAATCTCTAGACTAAGGAACTTTTCTATGCAAAGGACATAACATACATGATACAACAAAGTGAATTAGAAAGAGAGTTTAAAATAAGTACTTGGGTTTTGATTATCACTCTTCTGCTCAAAAGGCACTAAGCAGCAATACCAATATATATATTAAAAAAAAAAATCAGCAGCTCTTTGTATTTGCTCTGTAAACAAACTGTGCACTTATGGGCACCATTTCATAGTAAAAACCAAGCTCAATTATGAACACATCTATAGTAATTCAACTTTGTCTTTGATCACACAATTTACTATGGAGAAAAAGAGGACCTTAAATCCAGACCTTGCCTACTCATAGATATATAATATTTTATATATATAATGTATATCTATACACACATTATTTTGTATTAATAAGCCATCTCAGCAAGCATTTCCAGGTCTGAAATAATAGAATCCATAGAATTTCAATGAACAGCAGTATTCCGTGGACTGCAAATTGTGCTAAGATTCCTCAGTGTTTATACAAGACAGTAACGGTGTCGAGTACTGACTTTCCCAAGGCATCGTCTACGTCCCCTCGACTCGGTTCCTGACCCCGTACTCGTCCACGACAAGTTAAAGGCATGAGTTCATCAGCTGGATAGGCATGTTCCTGTCGGAAAACAAATGAACAAGCAGGTGAATAAAGCTGTAACTGTTAAGGATATTTCAATAAATCTTCATAGTTCATTAAAAGGAAATATCGAACACTAAAAAAAAAAGCACTGGACAAAGTTTTCAGGAGAAGGACATTGCTACTTTTTAAATAAAGAGCCAGCAAGTAAAAAAAAAAAAAAAAACGTATCACAGAAAAGCAGAAGGAATGCTCCTCTATAAATAAACATCTCTTACAGCAATTCCTTTTGAAAAGGATGGATTGTTTCCTTATCACTACCCCGCCAAGTACTATGGTCTTTGCACAATTCTTTGTTCTTAAAAATTGCAAAGGCAAGAATCTAGATCATTTCACTAGAGTTTGGACTCAGAAGAGTGTTTCTTCTGAATATCTGCAAGAAGTATTTAGAAGAAACAGATCAAAGAAATACAAGGAAAAAGCAACTTCAAAGTTAAGATGACTCAATTATAGAGAGAAAAAAGAATGGCAAAAAATTCTGGAGGAGAGAGACTGTTTTTTATGTCCGCTTTCTAATTTCTTACTCTTTTTGTTTAGTCTTAATATCATAAAGAAAATAGAACATTTTGGGGGAAAAAAAAAAAAAAACTTCACTTAGTCTCTATCTAGAGCACTGAAGGTTATGAGGTCAAGTGATTGCCTAAACTCATAAACGTTTCCAGTTCAACTAACCTCAAGGGAAATACAAAGACATTAAATACAAAATGCAGCACAAATGTTACAATCAAGGTATTTCTGGAAAAATATTACACCTAGCTCAATAGATATTCTGGAGTTTCTAGACATTCTGATAGAATGCATCACCATATTTCCTAAGGTCAGGACTGTAAAGACCACAGTAGCATCGTATTTGAAGAAAAGGAGGACTCATTGCTATTAGTGTTGGATATCAAGAAATATTTTCCAGACTAATGTGAAAGGCACTTTCAAATATTGTTTCTGACAATAAAGAAGAAACTCTTGTTTATCAGATACGTGGTTGAAGAATAACAGAAGGGGAAAAACAAACAAAAAAAACAAACAAATAAAAAGCATCTTTCTGCTTAAAATTCCTGCTAAGGTCTAAAAATAGAGACCAGGGAGTTTCCCCCTTGCATGCAAACACGAATTTTCAGTCTTCTAGCTACTCATGTCTAAAATAGGTATTAACAGAAATAGAAAATCAGCTGTCTGTTTCAAAAGCAACCATAAAAGACACTTAATTTTCTTGTTGCTGAGGTAAATCTCATACCCTAATCTTTTCTTTGGCTTTAAGCAAACAAGTCACATTTCTGTTTGATTAGTGCTCCAGCATACGTGGCAAGCAAATATCCTTTTGGCTTCTAAGTTTCCAGGATACCTGAAGTCATTCTTCCCCTTCACCTAGAATTTTCTTCTGAAAAATATCGCAAGATACCTAACAAGTTTCTGTGAACAAATCCCTTCTGCCTGCATGAAACTTTTTACCCAACTAGGTACAGGTATTTACTTCAGATAGCTGTGGGAAACATAAAACTAAGCACTTGTAAGGAACCAGGTCCCAAACGATTAGCTTCAAATCATCACCAAGAAGCCTATGCCAAGACAAGACATCAAAAGTTTAAAAAAAAAAAAAAAAGGCACCAATTTTTAAAATAATCTCAACTGTCCATATATTCATTCTAACTCTCACACACTATAAATAAACATCTCACATGCTCCACTAGCTTTTAAGCCCCAACAGTTAAATCATAAAGCAGAAACTGGGACATGTGGCAAGATATTTTCAAAAGACAGCAGTTGGTCATGTGGGAGCTGGTGCAACTTGGAGAAAAAAAAAGAGAAAAAAGAGGTTTCTAGTGTAACAGCTGCAAAGAACATACAAGAAAACCTGCTAACACAAACTTGTTAAGAATAAATATTTTATATTTTTCACATCTAGTTTCTTCTCAGAAAACATATTGCTGATAGTGTACTTGAAAGTAACTGTCACTTGAGGAAAGTCTATGTTAGGTAAAACAATTCCTCATTCTGCAATACATCTAAAGTAAGCTAATGTATTTCAAGGTTAATTAGATTCTAGAACATAACCATGCCTGAAAGAAACTACAAACTGTTTCACAGCAAACAAAAAGCCACATGAAAAGACATCATAGCAAGGCAAGGGTGCCTGGCATATGACAGTCACATACTTAGCAGAGGGTAGGTGCTACAGACATGACATCAAGGCCCCCTTTTTGTTCGTGTCAGGTATATTTGGCTTGTTAAAAAACTACCAAACTATCTAATTTATCTTAATACAGAGATGTCTGCTACTTATTTGAACTTGTTTTTTCAATGAGAGCCTGGAATTTCAAAGCAAAAACATTTACTGAAAATGAAAACTGCTCATGTTCTGATGCAATACAAACCTGGCTGAAGAAGGATCAGGCACAGATTAACAAGAGTTACACTGGCAATTCTGAGCTCCCATTGCTCTTCTTGAAGCAATATACAGATGTTCTTATTTATTTTAGCTTTGTTTTTCCCCTCACACCCTCCTGCTATTCTTTCAGCATGTTCTGTAGGTCACTTTCCCTTCCATGTCAACAAACAATTCTGAAAAAAGTTAAACAAACAGTATTTTACTTACCATATAATTGCTATATGCATGATCAAACATTTCCAACACTTGGTTTCTAAAACATAAAAATAAAATAAATTAAGTCTGCTTCCTAATATTCCTTTCACATGCCATTTTAATACCATAAGCAGCGAGTGCACTGAAATCTATAGCTTTGAAAATTCAGTAACAGGTCCACTACTAATGCACTCTGATCAAGTAAATGAGATGGGAGAAATTGTTTTGCCCTAATTCAGTTATTTTCATTCACTGCAGGAAAAAAAAGACTATCTCTCCAACTAACATGAAATTGCTTCACATGCGGGGAGTCTCCTTCAGCTTCCTGTGCTTCCTCTTGAATAGCTGTAGATGTCACCAACACATCAAAGCTGGAAAAACTGGGGATGGGATAAGTTCCTTGCTCAGCAAAAACAGCAAACATACTTACATTCTTCTTGTAATCACCAGCACTAAAACCAACTGACAGAGTTACAATGTATATCTCTTCCTTGCATCTGAAATCCTGGCAAATAAACCCAAAGATGACCTTTGTATATTATAAAATACATTTAATTGTTTGAAAAGCAGTCAAGGTGTGAAATGCTAATATGTAAAATAGCCCTAGTTATCTGGAAAGGTTGTGGAGTGCCAAGGGGTTCTGCCTCCCATCATACCAAAATGTCAGAAAAGCTCTCCTTTGCAAAGGGACATCAACAAAACTCACAACGTCTGCAGATCAGACTCAACATAAAAAGACGCAAAACCAAGTACGTTCCAAATATCTGATGCAGCTCAGTGACTCGGAAATTTAAAAAGTAATTTAATTTAGGAAATCTATTAAGGAAGTGATCTGAAGAGCACTGCATCCCATCTGGTCAGGCTTTTCTCAGGCACTTTCCTGACTATATCTAGTCTGCCGTTCTGGGACCTGCTGTAGCAGACAAAATCCCAGGGCTTTGCACAAGCGCGCCTGGTCCAGTTGCACAACTGAATTTAGAACATTACACTCAGTAATTCAGCATATATACGTATATAAAAACTTCTGTTTTTCTTTATATACATACCTATGCGTATAAAGCTTGTTCTGGGAGATATCTGGGGCTGATCTCACCTTATCATTATACAAATGCACACAAATTATCAGCTGTTATTCATGAATGACCCAGCTCTGAGCCCTCAACATGCAGCCAGTGGGAAGACACCACTTGTAATGTATTGCTGGGGTATCAGAGGACATGCTGAGCAGAAGGCACAACCATTTAAAACCAATCAGTGAATAAAATTTAACCTCCTGCTGCAGCACTTAAGGAAACGTACAAAATATATTCCAAGTGTGCAGTGATCCCAAGGTGGAATAAAAAAAAAAAAACACCGAAAAAACAGTAACTGTGTTATTAAGAGTTAAACCAGGACTTATATCTAACAACTGTTAACTGAGCAAGTCTCCAGTGTTTCTCCACCAGACTTCTTCCATCTCCATCCTGCATGATGATGATGACAGAACCACCCTAGTCCTGGACCAAAACTACGACATGCTTGGTTATGTGCCTGCCTCGAAACAGCCTGCCCTAGGCAGCAAGAGGCAGTTTCCCTCACTGGAGCTGCGGTGCTAACGCCCTACTAAAGCCTCGGTAGAACAGGGGGCTCCCTACAAGCGCAGGGAATGGAGCGGGGGGGTATTTACCTTAAGCGCTAGAAGGACACACGTCCCCATTCACCTTTCTTTAACGCGCCCGCTGCGCGTTTCGGTCACCTCGGCGGCCTGAGGGGGTCACGGCCGCCCCCGCGCAGGGCGCACGAACCCCGCTGCCCGCCCAGGCCCTGCCCGCCGCCGCGCTCACCCGAGCCGCCGCTTC